TGCGCTGAGGATTCGATGAAGTAGAGAATGGGGAAGGGCTTTGGACAGTGTAAGGAGCGAAGGGCCACCTGTTTTCTCTGGAGGGGCTGACCACCCAGGGGCCTGGCCCAGCAGGTCTACTGCGTTGCTCTGGAGCCTGGTCTAGGGGCTTCCAGGAGAACCAGGCAGTGGCACAGGAAGGCTGGGTTTGGGGTAACCTCAGCTATGGTGTCCCAGACCCTCATGCTGGTACCTGTTCCCAAGAGGGTGCATCCCTGCCTCACATTTGAACCCCTTCACTTCAGTCTTCTGTTGCCGTTCTTTGTGTCTTTTGTGGCATTTATTGCAATTGCTAATCATTTTGCTTACTTATTTCTTGTATCTCTATCACTAGAATGGAAACCTAGGAGGGCAGAAACTGACACTGTTGTCCTCCATTGTATCCCCAGGAGCTCTCTATCAGTTTGTTGAGTGAATCCGTAATCACACCTGCAGAGATCTGCAGAACAGGGACTCTCACCATCTTAGAAGCCTCTTTTTGTGGGCAGAGCATGGTTTAGGGAGTTTTTGATAATGTCAGGGACCTCTTGAGTTTCTTCCAATTTGAATTCCAATTCAGCTGCAGAAGCACCTATGTTATGTCCACAGTGTACAAGGGCAAGGAGAAGGGAAGGAGCATTTGCTTTCCGTTTGGTTTTGTTGTTGTTTTGATTTGTTTTGTTTTTTGAGACAGGGTCTCTGTTGCCCAGGCTGGAATACAATCAGGGCTCACCACAGCCTCGACCTCCCGGGCACAGGTGATCTTCCCACTTCAGCTTCCTAAGTAGCTGCAAATACCAGTACACAACACCCAGCTAATTTTTGTATTTTTTGTAGAGATGGAGTCCCACTATGTTGCTCAGCCTGCTCTCTGACTCCTGGGTTCAAGCAATCTGCCCACCTTGGCCTCCCAAAGTGCTGGGATTCTAGGCATGAGCCACTGCGCCCAGCCAACCTTTATTACTGAGTGTCCACTACGTCTGAGGAATTTGCTCCTGCAGCGCAAACGCAGCTGAACTTCCTGTGGGCCCCAGCTTGTGCAAAGTCCTTTCCATGCATTATTTCATATAATTCTCACGCAAAGGCCTCCAGTAATTATGTCCATTTTACAGATGGGAAAATTGAGGTTCCTAAAGATTGCATAACTTGCCAGGGAGAAGGGTTGAGGTGCTGTTTGACATCCCAGCCCACCAGGCTGTTTCCACTCTCCACGCTTCCCCAAAGCAAGTATCTGCCCACGGAGAGGGTCTCCTGGGCTCTCAGAGCAACCTCTGCATTGAAGAGAATGAACCAAGGACTTAAAAAAGAAAACTAATATAACAGGACCATTTTCCCCTAGGCCTAAAATTATGCCAGCTGCACCAAATTTTAAAATAACCAATTTAAAAAAAAAAAAAGGAAAAAGGAAAAATTATTCATAATCCCACCTTCCAGAGATAATCACTGTTGGAATGTCTTGTTTTTCTTTTTCTTTCTTTTTTTTTTTTTTTTGAGACGGAGTCTCGCTCTGTTGCCAGGCTGGAGTGCAGTGGCAAGATCTCAAGCTCACTGAGATCTCCACCTCCTGGGTTCAAGCCATTCTCTTGCCTCAGCCTCCCGAGCAGCTGGGACTACAGGCAGGCACCACTGTGCCCCACTAATTTTTTGCATTTTAGTAGAGAAGGGGTTTCACCAGGTTGGCCAGGATGGTCTCGATCTCTTGACCTCATGATCCACCCACCTCAGCCTCCCAAAGTACTGGGATTACAGGTGTGAGCTACCACATCCGGCCCTAATCTTTTTTTCTTTTGAATTAGATACATATACTTTACTAACTTAAAATCATATTGTTCACTAATGTCCCGTTTTATAACAATTACTAACATTTACCGGCACTTTGTGCCAGATATTTTTCTGTGACCATTTTATTGCGAACATTTTCCCACATTACTAAATAAGTCTTTGAAAACATCACTTATGTATGTATTTATTATTTAGAGATGAGGTCTTGTTCTGTCACCCAGGCAGGACTGCAGCAGCATGATCATAGCTTACTGAAGCCTGGGACTCCTAGGCTCAAGTGATCCTCCCACCTCTGCCTCCGAAGTAGCTGGGACTATAGGAGCGCCACAACGGCCAGGTAACTTTTTGTATTTTTTGTGGAGATGGTATTTCACCATGTTACCTAAGCTGGTCCCAGAAAACACCTTTTTTTTTATTTTTTTTTTTTTTAGTCAGTCTCAGTCTTGTCACCCAGGCTGGAGTGCAATGGTGTGATCTTGGCTCACTGCAACCTCTATTCTCCTGCGACAGCTTCCCGAGTAGCTGGGACTACAGGCGCATACCACCACGCCCGGCTAATTTTTGTATTTTTAGTAGAGTCGGGGTTTCACCATGTTAGTCAGGTTGGTCGTGAACTCCTGACCTCAAGTGATCCGCTCCCCTCGGACTTTCAAAGTGCTGGGATTACAGGTGTGAGCCACCGCGCCCGGCGGAAAACGCCATTTTGTAATGGCTGCATACTACTCTACCCACGGATAGTCCATGATTTATTTAACCCACTTCCTTATCCTGGACATTTCCAGTATCACCTTTTCCTTGGATGATGCAATTATCTTTTATTTATTTTAAATGTACTTATTTACTTACGTAGAAACAGGGCTTCTCTCTGTCGCCCAGGCTGGAGTGCAGTGGCGCGATCCCGGCTCACTGCAGTCTCCACCTCCCCGGCTCAGGCGATCCTCCCGCCTAAGCCTCCTTAGTAGCTGGGACCACAGATGTGCGCCACCACGCCCAGGTACTTAAAAAAAATAATTAAAAATTAAAAAAAGAATCTTTTAAGAGACGGGGGTGGGGGGGTTCTCCTTATATTGGTCAGGCTGGTCTCGAACACCCGGGCTCAAGCCATCGTCCCCCACTGGTCTTCCCAAAATGCTGAGATTTACAGGAGAGAGCCACCGCGCCCGCCGGCGCAATCATCACGGATGCTGCAGTGCGTGAGAATGAGAGCGTGTTCCCTTACTCATGGAAATACATTTACATGTATTTTTGTGAAAAACATAAACGACCCCGCCCCCGCGGAGTTAGGAGAAAAGCAGCCGGGAGCAGTGGAGGGGAGGGTGCTGCGGGCTCCGGCTCTGTAGCGTGGCTGGGCGCGGGTCCTGAAACCGCGCACGGCTTTCCCAAGGGCGCCTGGCATCCCGGGGCTGGAGGCGGGCTGGGCCTGGGGCTCGCGGGTCCGCGGCGTCCCGCCGCCACGCATGCGCGCGCACCGCCCTGCCGGAGACCGGCCCGGGGCGCGGGGCCGCGGTTTTCTCCGCAGCTGCCCGCGGGGGCTTCCGGGTGCGCAGGAAGGTCCCGCCCCGCTCGGGCGGGGCCAGCGCACCGACGTGGCGCCCTCCGCGGCTCTGCTCGCCGAGGGTGGCGCGGTGACCTGCGCACGACACACCCCTGCCTGCAAGCTGCGAGCGGTCGAGCCGGGCGGTTCAGCTGGGCACCCGGGTCCGGTCGTTTTTTAGGATAAACGTCTCAGGCGTATTTCGGGTCGAGGGGCTCGGCACCCATGTTAGGAAATGGGCGCCAGAAAGGCTGAGCGCGTCCCTCCGCGCCGAGCCAAAGAGCGACGGCTGGAAGGGCTCACCTTAACCTGGAGTCCCTTTGGGTGTCTCTCGGAGTTCTCAGAGGAAGAACTTTTGGATGAGGTCGCGTGTCGTGGTGGGGATGGGACTCAGGTGGTCGCCAGGAGCGGAAGTCTAGTGATGAGGGGTCCCAGAGGGTTTGGGTGGCAACCTCCGGTAATCTTTGGGGCTAGGAAGTTTGTTTTGTTTTTAACTACTGTAGTAGGAGCATCATCAATGCTGTATATGCTGGTGGTGCTGGGTTGGGATGTATGTATACAGGGTCATCCTGGCCCACAGCCTCCTCCCAGGGTAGACTGAAGCTGCGAAGCCCTTCCGTTTCTGCCTTTTTCTCTATGTAAGTCTCAACAGTGCATCTCTAGCGTCCCTGAGTCAGAGGGGCCTGGAGGGGCTCTGTTAGGATCCCTCACTGGAAGTGGAGAAGTGGATATGAGAATAGGAAGGATTACAGCCCCTGCCTTGCTGCCGAGGAGAGGACTTTGCTTCTCTTCTTGGGTAGGCTTGGCCAAGATCAAGGTCATTTTTGGCTGTGCTGGGGAGGAGCGTGGGCGGTGGGTCACCCTTTTTGAGTGTGCTCAAGGCATTAATAGGTCCCCAGAAGAAGCAGGCCTCCTGCTCTGAGCCAGATTCCACCGTTCCCCTCCTGAATCAAATCGGTGGCTAGCCCGGGTGGGAAGCAGGGTGCGGACCAGGCTGGGACGCTGCTGTGTCCAGGCAGGGGGGCTCGCCTCATTTCCTGCAGTTCTGAGGAGCCAGGGACACCTGCAGGCCCGGACGAAGTCCATTTGGGCTCCTTGCACCCGTTAAGGATGACGAATGAAGAGAGCCCTGGGCTTACCTGCACTTACTGGCACTGTGATTCTCTCCTTAATGGTCCAGTCACTTGAACGCTCTGAGCTATGGTTTATTCACCTTAGTGGGTGAACACCTAAGTGGGTGCCTTAACGAAGTTCTCAAAGATTGCCTGTGGGAAGCCACACAAGGCAATACCTACAGAGGGTCCTGGTGGGGCTGGGTGCAGTGGCTCACGCCTGTAATCCAAACACTTTGGGAGGCCAAGGCACGTGGATCACTTGAAGTCAGGAGTTCGAGACTAGCCTGGATAACATGGTGAAACCCCATCTCTACTAAAAATACAAAAAAATTGGCTGAACACGGTGGCACACGGCTACAATCCCGGTTACTCAGGAGGCTGAGACAGGAGAATCACCTGAACCTGGGAGGCAGAGGTTGCAGTGAGCTGAGATCATGCCACTGCACTCCAGCCTAGGCAATAGAGTGAGACTGCCTCAAAAAAAAAAGAAGCTGCTGGTCAGCTGAGACTCAACTCCAGAGGCCAATCTGCCTTCTCTTAAGGACTGGCCTCCCCTAGATTCTGACTGCAAGACCAGAGACTTAGAAATGATTTCTCTCCGACGGCGGACACCAGTACTCCAAGATGGCGTCAGTCGTACCATCGAAGGACAGGAAACTTCTGGAGGTCAAACTAGGAGAGCTGCCAAGCTGGATCTTGATGCGGGACTTCAGCCCTAGTGGCATTGTCGGTGCGTTTCGAAGAGGTTACTACCGGTACTGTAACAAATATATCAGCGTGAAGAAGGGGAGCGTCGCGGGGCTTACCACGGTGCTGGCATGCTGCGTGGTCTTCAACTACACCAGTTCCTACAAGGAGCTCCAGCAGGAGCGGCGACGTGAGTACCACTGAAGACAAGCTCTGCACTCCCCTCCGGGACCTTCTTGGCTTGAGCCCCTCCATAAGGAACACAGTCTCGATTATTGCTGAATCCTTTCATATCCTAATGGAATTAACCTCCAAATAAAAGATGACTGGTGGCCGGGCGCGGTGGCTCAAGCCTGTAATCCCAGCACTTTGGGAGGCCGAGGCGGGTGGATCATGAGGTCAAGAGATCGAGACCATCCTGGTCAACAAGGTGAAACCCCGTCTCTACAAAAAATAAGCTGGGCATGGTGGCACGTGCCTGTAATCCCAGCTACTCAGGAGGCTGAAGCAGGAGAATTGCCTGAACCCAGGAGGCGGAGGTTGCGGTGAGCCGAGATCGCGCCATTGCACTCCAGCCTGGGTAAGGAGCGAAACTCCGTCTCAAAAAAAAAAAAAAAAAAAAAAAAAAAAAAAAGATGACTGGTAAAAAAAAAAAAAAATGATTTCTCTGTGTTTCTCTCTGTACATGTTCTTATCTATTACTTATCACACTTGTCCACTGAACTTGTTAGAAATTAAAGCCATAAAGAAGAAAATTGAAATATTGAACCACCTGGTGGTTACATGAGTATGTTATCAAAACTCAACTAATAGAGGTGCAGATTATTGTATGCAAATTATAGCTCAATAAAGTTTTTATTTTAAACTTTAAAAAAAAAATCCCACCATTACTGACATTTTAGAATATAGACTTCTCAATTTTTTTTTTCCCCCTTTAGGATGGAGTCTTGGTCTGTCCCAGGCTAGAGTGTAGTGGCACCATCTCAGCTCACTGCAGCCTCTACCTTCTGGATTCAAGCAATTCTGCCTTAGTCTCCTGAGTAGCTGGGTTTACAGGCACCGGCCACCATACCCAGCTAATTTTTGTATTTTCAGTAGAGACAGGGTTTCACCGTGTTGGCCAGGCTGGTCTTGAACTCCTAACCTCAAGTGATCCACCCACCTCGGCCTCCCAAAGTGCTGGGATTACAGGTGTGAGCCACCACGTCCAGCCTACTTCTTGATTTTTTACATACAGAATACTATTATAGATAAGTGTGTATATACATATAAATGTGCATGTCTATAAATGTAGCATATTTATATAGAAGGTAAATGCATATACAATGTAGATGTATATATACATGTAAATGTAGATGTATGTAAATATGTAAGTGTGTGTGTATATATACACATATGCATACACGCATAAACACATTTAGAGTTTGTTTTATAAATAAAAATGGATCAAGATGTGCCATTCTTTGTGAGCTGTGGCTTCTGTAGATGTACCTGGCTGGTATCTCCACGTTCAGGAGAACTTACACACTCCTTGTCGTGGAGCTGGGCTGGGCTGCTGGACCCCAGCCATGCCACAGTGCTTCTTGAACTGGAGTCCCCTGGGGTGGGGAGGCAGCCTGCCCAGCAAAAGCAGCACACCCTGGACTCAGCCAGGCCTCTCTAGTCAGTCCCTCTGGAAGGGCCTCTCAGGCCCTGGGGATCCCAGGCAGAGGATGCTGTAGGCCTGTGGATGACCCTGGGAAAGAAGGCAATAAACGAGCGACTTTGAAGTGAGAATGTCTAGAAACATGCCAATGGCCTGGGTGGGAGGAAGGCCCATTTGGAAGAGGAGAGGGACAGCAGTGACATGGATCAGGGTCATGAGATGGGTCGGGCAGAACACGGAATCCTCCTGTCTGGCTGATGAAAGGGGGCTTGGCAGAGCTTGGGATAGATGGGGAGGGTTAAGAGCTGGGAGTCAGAAGATGCTTGGATTGATGTGGGGTTCATGAGAGGAAAAGGGTCCCAAGAACGGCCATCTGGATTTCTGCATAACCGAAGGCCATATGGGAAGGTCTGGCTGTGTAGAATGTACTATCTACATCCAAAGGGCAGAGAGAGGGCTGCTCAAATGCTGGGGGGAGCAGTGGGAGTGGCCTTCATTTCCAGTATGACACTAGGCTGCTGTCACATGACAGAAACTTTCTGATCAGCTCAGCCTCCACCTGTTGAATCCTAGCAGGTGAATGATACTATATTTGTCATGGTGACATATTACAGGACCAAGCGCTTAACAGAAATGAAGTGAACTCCGAGAGAGTCTGGAAGGATGCCCGGATTGTTGGCAGGATTGAACAGACTTTAGGAAGTGGAACTAATGCTTGATTCTCGCTCCTCTCTTCTTGAACTCTCTCTCCTCTCTTGCTCTCAGTCGCTCGTGCTCTCTCCAAGTCTGCCTTGTTTTTGTTTGGCTCTGCTTGGCCTTCTCTGTAATCAATCTGACTCCGGGTGAGGGAAAGATGCCCCACCGCCCGACAGCCCTGAATTGACCTGCTTCTAGCTTCCAGCCTCAGTGCAATTCTCCCCAGAGCCTCCTATCCACTCCAGAGAATTCTGACTGGTCCTGCTTAATCCGGCACCATCCTATTATTGGGTACTCTGATCGCTCAGGCTGGAGGGCTATGGCTGAAGGACCGAGGGCAGCCTGTTTCCAGAAGGAAATAGGATAGAAAGGGGCTGGTCAGCACTAAAACAATAGCAACCAGAGGCTGTGACACATGGTTTTCAGGATAAAGTAAAAAAATCAAGATGGCAGAGGCCCTCCATCAAAGAGCACACCGTCTAGTCAGAGACAGACCTGGAGCAACAGAGGGCAGCAGAGAGTGCTACTGGCTGGCTGTCCTCAGACCACTTTGAGACTACTCAGCTCTTGAAAAAATTAAGAGTACAAACATTGATACCCCTACTCTGTAACCGATTAACTCACATTTTTGAGGCCACAGAAGCTGGAGGAACCAACTCTAAGAAGACGGATCCTAATTATGGCAGGAGTGCAGTGTGGAAAAGCAGAAAATGCAGACAGATCAGAGTTCAAATCCTAGCTCTCTACCAGCTGTGATCATCAACTCAAGCTTTTTAAAGACAGCATATAAATTTGACACAATTAGTAGACTCCTTCATAGGCAGTTGTGAGGATTAAGATCTATATTTTAGGTGTTCAGTAGAGAATATAAACGAGTACTCAATAAATGAGCTGTGGCTGGGTGCAGTGGCTCATGCCAGTAATCCCAGCACTTTGGGAGGCCGAGGCAGGTGGATCAGTTGAGCTTAACAGTTCAAGATCAGCCTAAGCTACATGGCGAAACCCTGTCTCTACAAAAAATACTAAAATTAGCTGGGTGTGGTGGCTTGTACCTGTGGTCCCAAGCTACTTGGAAGGCTGAGATAGGAGGGAGGATCGCTTGAGCCCGGGAGGTTGAGGCTGCAGCCAGCCAAGATCATGCCACTGCACTCCAGCCTGGGAGACAGAGCAAGACTCTGTCTCAAAAAAACAAGATGCAACAGTATTAAGACCCATTACTAACAATGACCCTTGCTGCCACCAATGAAATTGTTGGAATCACAGCCCCTGCTACCTCCCTATTTTCTGAGTGATCCTTGCTTCCCAGATGTCACCCCAGATGCCTTTCCTGGGCAGAGGTAAAGAATCCCAGCCCTAGATGGCAGATGGGCAGGATAGTTTGAGGACCTACTTTGGGCTGGATCCCTGGCAGCTGGTTTAGCTGCAGGGCCCAGAAGCCCACTGAAGCTGCTGAAGAAGTCAACGGGGACTTTGAATAACCATCACTGCATTTCGTAGATTTCAGTTGTAGGAGGCAGGATGGGCATCGGCGTCAGCAGGGTTTCCCAGGTGGCTGCTGTCTCTGTCCATCCTTTCCTCAGGGGCTGTGTATGCTCTACCTCTGCCCTTCTGTCGATGGGGTTCCTTCCCTTGCCCCCACTCACTGATTTCCACCTGGCACCCTCATGGCTGACCCTAAAGGTCTCACGTCCCAGCCTTCATAACCTTCCAATCCTTATACTGCCCACTGACTCTGTCTCTGACTCCACACCAAGTTTCTGGGACAGAGACTGTGGTTGCCTGGCTTGGATCAGGGTCACCCGAGTTCAATGAGCCGTGACAAGTGATGGTAGAAGTGCAGTGTGGCCCTGCAGCCTTGACCTCCCAGGCTCAAGTGATCCTCCCACCTCAGCCTCCCAAGTAGCTGGGACCACAGGTGCAAGCCACCATGCCTGCCTAATTTTTGTATTTTTTGAGAGACAGGGTTTGCCATGTTGCCTGGGCTGATCTCAAACTCCTGACCATCTAGTGACAGGGATAGCTTCTTTACTATTATTATTATTATTACTATTACTGAGATGGAGTCTTGCTCTGTTGCCCAGGCTGGAGTACAGTGGCGGGATCTTGGCTCACTGCAACCTCTACCTCCTGGGTTCAAGCAATTCTCCTGCCTCAGCCTCCCAAGTAGCTGGGACTGCAGGTGTCTGCCACCACATCCGGCTAATTTTTTGTATTTTTAGTAGAGTTCGGGTTTCACTGTGTTAGCCAGGATGGTCTCGATCTTCTGACTTCGTGATCTACCTGCCTCAGCCTCCCAAATGCTGGGATTACAGGCATGAGCCACCGCAATTGGCCCAAGGATGGCTTCTTTCTGTGACAAGGGAACCCTTCTAGCAGTGGGAGATGCAGTCCTTGGAGGAGTGGCCAGAGAGCTGGCATTCCAGTCTCTCTCCTTAGTTGCCTATTCAAATCTTTTCTGGGTTCATGGCCTGCCTTATGTTCTAGCTTGGCTCATAACATCTGGAGAAGAAATATTTGGTGACGTGTGAACACTATGAAATTGAAATTTTGGGCCGGGCGCGGTGGCTCAAGCCTGTAATCCCAGCACTTTGGGAGGCCGAGGCGGGTGGATCACGAGGTCAAGAGATCGAGACCATCCTGGTCAACATGGTGAAACCCCGTCTCTACTAAAAATACAAAAAAAAAGCAGCTGGGCATGGTGGCACATGCCTGTAATCCGAGCTACTAAGGAGGCTGAGGCAGGAGAATTGCCTGAACCCAGGAGGCGGAGGTTGCGGTGAGCCGAGATCGTGCCATTGCACTCCAGCCTGGGTAACAAGAGCGAAACTCCGTCTCAAAAAAAAAAAAAAAAAAAAAAAGAAATTGAAATTTTGGTGTT